ATGAGCCAAGAAGCTTCTAAAATAGAATTGAGTTCATTAAATTGAAAATAGTAAATATAAACAAATATTTCCAACACAAAGGAAAAAGCTGATTAAAGCTATTAAGAAGACTGAATGAGAGAGAGTATGAGTGAGGAAAAGCATAATGTGAATGGCTGAAAAGAAAAAAGAATAAAATTAGTAAAACTGGCAGTGAAGTAATTTATAAGTAGAACTAAAGCTCAGGGATAAACAGAAAATAGAAGGGAATTATTGGAAAATAAGATTTTATAAACAAAAGAAGATAAAGCTATGTGTGCTTCAGGTTGTTTGTTTCGTTTTGTTTTCTTTTTTGTGACTGCAACGTGTCATTTGGGTAGTTCACGATCTAGTGAAATGTTTAACCACTCATTCCCAATAATCATGGGTAAAAACAAAGCAAAACAAAAAAAAAACCAAACTGCACATTTAGAAACGCCATATGTATATTTGTTTTGTTTTTGAAGTAGCAATCTAATGTTGCATTAGAATCCGAGGTCAGATGTCTCAACTACTATATTTGGATCCATTAGATAAGACCTGCTTATTATATTACATTGTACAGCAAAAGAAGTTATCTAGTCTGTTTGTATTTTTAACCTTTTGTTATGTATTGTTTGTAAATGTCATTATTTTTATTTGTAAATTTCAAAGAGTTGGGAAAAGAATATTTTATTTAGTTTCAGGTTCTAAAATTATTAACACTAAAACTGGCACTAAAAACACGTTCCCTGCCCAACTCTACCACTCATTCCCACAATGTACCAGAAACCGTGTCTTATAAATCATGCGAATCTTTTTATTACCCATATTTCCCGTGACAGTGCCAGCCACAGAGGAGATACTCAGCAAATATTTGTCAAGTGAGTGAACAGAAACTCAGTTGGAGCCGTATTATAAAATAACTACACTTTTCAAAATCTTAAGCCTGCTATAAAATAGACTCCAGACATGATGAAGCATATACTCATTGTGGAAGATTTATTACCTAAATTCAGTAATGAATGGTCATTACTTTTAAATGTCTTCAGTTAAGTAGAAAGAGGTTTAAATATTACTTGATTTGAATGATGGTTGTAAAAATCCTCCAAATATTTGGTAATAGTTGACCTAACAAAATACAAAAATATTAAGCAATCTTTAAAAAAACCCAGCTTGGAGCCAGTGAGAGTGTTGTTATTAATAAAGGCAGTAATTGTCTCAGAAATAATATTGAATTGATATCATCTGTTTTTGATTGTGTGTCTCGTTGTATGTTGTGTGATCATTAGTCTTACTTATTTACATGAGCTGAAAACTACTAGAGCCTTAGGGAATGCTACAGTATAGAACTTGATCCTTCCAAATCAATCCAACATCTCAATGGGAGTAGGAGCCATGAGTGAATTGAGGGGTTTCTGTGTATATATCATTATTATTATATTGTACCAAAGAATTCTCCGTTTACCAATCTTCTTTACAGTTCTATCTCAGGACTGAAGAATTTATAAGTACGATAATGTACTTTTCTTAGCTATAGTCCCAAACTGATGTTTCTCAACTACAAAAGAGAACATAGGGAATAGTCTAAGCCAACTAGGGCTTTTGAATACACAAGTCTTGTCAGCTAAAGGAAATGCCCAAGCCAGTCAACAACGCTTTAGAACTGTACCACCTCAGGACAAGATTCATTTTTTTTTTTTTAAATCACGGAAAGTAGGGCCAGGGATGGAGCTCAACGGCACAGTGCCTGTCTGGCAAATGTGAGACCCTGAGTTCCATTCCCGAATTTAAAAAATTAATTAATTAATTATTAAAAAAATTAAAGCACAGAAACTAACATATTCCTGAACATTTTCTTTTCTTCCATTCTTGGGCACTGGTAGAAGTGAATTGCTAACACTTCCGTGTGCCTCAGTTTCTTTATCTGTGAAATGAGATTAATAGAACTGTGAATATTAAAGTACTTGATGTAACAAGAGCTTAGAAGAGTTTCTGGAAGATTTGACAGGTTTTCTGTTCCGTAGTTACTATCTACCAGTGCTGTGTGTTTTCAACAGATTTTTGTCACTGCTGTTGATGGTATCTTTAGAATTTAACTCTAAAAACTAAAAAAAATAAAGGTATATTTCATTTAAACAATGTTACTGTATTAGCACTATTATCTATGATTTTGTGATAGCCATTTAATGTTTTTATTTTTATCATTATTTATAAAAAAATCATATTGAAATTAGTTTTAATTTTGCATGAAATTACGCAGAGGGTATGTGTTACTACTTTTGAAATTATTCAAGTTTAAAAAAGTACTTACAGTAATTCAGAGGATTGTAAATATATGATTAAAATATACCAAGGTTATGATTTATTTAAAGTTTATTTGTTAATGTTTAATTTATGTAGCCATAACACAGATAATCATGGGTATCAGTTTAACACATTTATTTTTGTCTAGAACACTTTTGTGTATTATTTCTCTGTAAATCTAAATATAGAAATAATTTTATCACCTTGAGTTCTAACCAACTTTTGTGGTGTTTAGGATTATTAAATGAGAAATTACAAACATCAGTCTATCACGTTTTCTTCAAAGTGTCATATTATGCAATACTGAATTATTAAATGAAAAAATTTTGTAAGTGATCTATCACAATTCATTATGGAATTTGAGAAATTATGAAACTTCACTTGTTACAGTTCAATGCTTAAATTTTTACTAGGTACTTATTGTTAAAAACTGGACTTAGCTCAGTGGTTGCGCTGCCTGCCTCGCAAGCGCAAGGACCTGAGTTCAATCCCCAGTACCCAAAAAAAACCCCAAAAAACTGGACTAAATCTTTCATGTTACTTGATGTCATTTACTTATTCTCTCAACCTTATTAATCACTTTTCACTTCAGGAGCATCAATATCCAAATTACAATAATTGGGTCATTTAAAATAAAGTTGATGAAATAGGATTAGTCACCACTGTTCCTAAAATATAAACACTGTTAAATTCTAAGGGTTAAGATTCTAGAATCCAGGAAATAGATTTTTGATATGTGCTTCATGGAGTCATATGCTCTGAAGGTTTTATATAAATAAAGTAATAAATGAGTTTTGACTTAACTTTCATAATACAATTTCTACTCAAAAAAGTCTTATGTCACCATATATCATATTGGAGATTAATTCACTTATTGTCATTTGTTTATTAGTATTATTTTAAAATATTATAAAAGATGAGCAATTTAATTTATAATCATGATGGGAAATATGGTCTTAAAATTCTCTGACAGTTATGGCTTAGCAATCATAAAATCTCCAAGCTTCTTATACTCAAGAAAACTGATCCTTCCTGTACTATACAATCACTTGTTTAAACACTGTGCTATGGTCTGAATAATTGTTTGCATCCCCACATACATGCAGGAGCTTAATCCTCAAAATTTTATGTTAATGGGATTTAGAGGGTGGAGGGTTAATCCGAGTATAGTGCTTGAAGATAGGGCCTTAAGGAAATTATTAGTATTAAATAAGCTCATTAGGGTGGCAGCCCCATAATTAGATTCTGGTAGGGTTGTTAAGACGAGGGAGAGAAATTGCAAATAGGTGTGCACTCTGTCTCTTGCCATATGATTCTTTGTGATGCCTTGGGACTCTCTCATTAGATGAAGCCCCAAGCCTCGCACATCTAGAAATATGAGCCAAAATAAACCTTTTTCTTTATAATATGGCCTACATCAGGTATTTTGTTATGGCAATGAAAAACAGATTATTTAATGTACACTCTTTCTTACACTACAAGGGACAGTACTATCAGATAGATAGATAGATAGATAGATAGATAGATAGATAGATGGATATAACATGTTCTATATATATGTGTAATATGTATATATATGCATATTATATATGTATTTAATATATATATATTAAAACTCTAAACACTCCCTTATATCTCTACTGGTAAAACTGTAGGAAATCCACATCTTTTCCTAGAGCACTGTAATAGGTTTCCAACTCAGCCTTCTTCATCTACTTAAAAAATCCATTACAAAAAAAATGAACCCAGATACATCAAAAACATAATGTGATCATAGCTTTCTTTTGCTTAAGACTTTCTAATGGCTTCCTGTTAAATGTGGAATAAAATCCAATGCCTTATAGTCTTCAGAGTTTTGCCTGTTAATGGCCAACTGCCCTGTCCTCCCAACTACTGCCATAAGTTTTTTCTTGTTTGTTAATCATACTTCATGATCTATGTATTTGTGTTCACTTCTTGGAATTCTTCCCTTACATCTATTATTAGTTCCTTTATGTTCCTATTCATATGTCACTTCCATAGGGAAGTCCCTTCTGAAAGCACTTTAAATTAAATTTTAAAAAAATTCTTCTTCCAGGATATTTTCTACACCTTCATCAGGGCTAGTTTTCTTCATAGCATTTCCTACTATCTGGTACTATATTAGTTGTCTATCCATGTCTATTTTCTTGTATTCTTTATTACTAGATATTTAATATCTTTAGCCATGTTTGGCACATGTTGATATATAATAAACATTTGTTGAATGAGACAGTGACTAATTTCACTTAAGTATTTTTAACTCTTACTCTAATATCATCTCATAACCTTTCTGTTTCCATTGATTCTTTTCTAGTCTCAAGGCTGCAGAAAAAAATGGTCTTTCTTATTCTCTTCTTATTCCTCTCCTCCCTGATTATTGTATTAAGTCTAACATTTCCATATCATGGCCAACTTTTACAGATGAATAAAAATAGCCTCAGTTCTCTTTGATGACAATTTACTCTTTCCAAAACCATTGGGAAATAAAAAGAAAGTTAAAATACTTTCCTTAGCTTGTTTTTCCTCGAGTAAAATTATGTGATTCTTACGTAATCACAATTCCCAATTCATCTCTCACTAAGGGTAAAATCAAGAAAGATTATTAGTATTAAAACATCTTTCTGAGTTTACACAGGTGATGACAGAAACACAATGTGCTTTGTTTTTTCTTTTAGATCTCCAACTAAAGACATGGAATCTGAAGAGAAGGAAATTGTGGTTTGGGTTTGCCAAGAAGAGAAGATTGTCTGTGGGTTGACTAAACGCACCACCTCTGCTGATGTTATCCAGGCCTTGCTGGAGGAACACGAGGCTACTTTTGGAGAGAAACGATTCCTGCTGGGAAAGCCCAATGACTACTGCATCATCGAGAAGTGGAGAGGCTCAGAACGGGTTCTTCCTCCACTAACTCGAATCCTGAAGCTTTGGAAATCATGGGGAGATGAACAGTCTAATATGCAATTTGTTTTGGTGAAAGCAGATGCTTTTTTCCCCGTTCCCTTGTGGCGGACAGCTGAAGCCAAATTAGTGCAAAACACAGAAAAACTGTGGGAGCTCAGCCCAGCAAACTACATGAAGACGTTACCACCGGATAAACAAAAAAGAATCGTTAGAAAAACATTCCGGAAATTGGCTAAAATCAAGCAAGACACAGTCTCTCATGATCGTGATGATATGGAGACATTAGTCCATCTGATCATCTCCCAGGACCATACTATTCATCAGCAAGTTCAGAGAATGAAAGAATTGGATCTGGAAATTGAAAAATGCGAAGCCAAGTTCCACCTTGATCGTGTAGAAAATAATGGAGAGAATTACGTTCAGGATGCATATTTAATGTCCACTGTCAGTGAAGTTGAGCAGAAACTAGACTCGCAGCCTGAGGAAAATCAGACTCTGGAGGACCTGAGTGAAAGTGATGGAATTGTACAGTTGGAAGAGCGTCTGACATATTACAGAATGCTCATTGATAAACTCTCAGCTGAAATTGAAAAAGAGGTGAAAAGTGTTTGTATTGGAATAAATGAAGATCTTGAAGGGGCAGCTGCAGGTGAACTTGAAAGCCCTGATTTAGGTAGTGTTAAGTGTGACTTGGAGCAAAGCATGAAAGCTGGTTTGAATATCCATTCTCACTTGAGTGGCATCCAGAAAGAGATCAAATACAGTGACTCATTGCTTCAGATGAAAGCAAAAGAATATGAACTCCTAACCAAGGAGCTGAATTCCCTTCACATTAGCAAAAAAGATGAATGCCATTTAAAGGAAAACGGAGGGAAGGAATCTGAGGTTCCGTGCAACAGTGAGGAGACACCTCCCTCTACCCCAAAGGTCTTTAATGGGTACACAAATGACACAGACTCAGACACTGGTATCAGCTCTAACCACAGTCAGGACTCAGAAATAACTGCGGGAGATGAGGTGCTACTGTCAACATAATTCAGATGGTTTCCTTCTGACCTGCTTTAATGCTGTCTGTATTTGTGTAATTTATATGAAACTATTGCAAAAACACCTTTCCAAAAAAATGGCAAACCATGTTAAAAATATTCAGTAGGTAAAAAAAGTAGTCAGGTTTTCTTTCTTTTTTGGTATAAGATTTTCAATGTGGTTTTATTATAGGTTGAAGCAATGAGTTATTTATTAGGAATGCAGCAGATCCAGCTTATCAGTGTAGCACACAGAACTAATTTAATGGGAATTATTTGATAATCTCATATTTTCTATGGGGAATGATTTATATAAATTTTAAAACATTTCTTAATATTGCAAAAATATCGAAACTATGCACATGAAGAAGTAATAGCAAAATGTGTTATATCTTTTCTCCAAGATTATGTCATTAGAATATTTATATCTGTAAAGTATGTAACAGGTACTGTGTTGTATATCTGCCTTAATTCAAGTCTTGGTTCTTTTAATACTTACGTTGTACAATCTATCATGTCTATAATTTCCTGAGTGCTTCTACCTGTTTATGCCTACATGACAGGTGGCTGTTGGGACATGTCCAAGTTCTGGCAGTGGGTCAGAGTAGGTATAGATGAGGCAAAGCCAAGTGCTTCATATAAACATTTTTGTTTCCTGGAAGACGTACCATTATTAAGAGCTTTGTATCAGCTTTTGCTACTTGGAAATTGAGATCCTTTGGTCAAATCAGTGTTATATGAGGGTTTTAGCTTAGAGGTACAGTGTGAGTTAGAGGAAATCAGTTGCAGTCTTTTTCATTTATGCTTGTCTACATAAGTGAAGTGATAAAATTTGAAGTTGCTTGTGTGGGTAAGATAGTATTCTACATGCCATCATTATTATCAATTTGTCTCTGAATGCATGGAAGGATATGCGCATGGACAGAAGATTTATTCTGGTGTACTATATTTTAGATTGTCTTCATAGCACTTCAGCCAAAATGCTTAAATAAGTTTTGTGCTTTCAGAAATACTAACAACATTTCAGGCATGCTAGTAAAAGCACAAGAAATTGAATAGATTATTGAGGTTCTGCCTTGACTGACAGTCATTCTGGTGCCAGATTATACTTGGTTTTCCTTGATGTTTTAAGAATTTTATTTCTCCTCCTTTCCTTTTTTCCTTCCTTTCATCTTGTTCACCTCCCTGTCTGTCTTCCTCTTTTGTCTTCTCTCCCTCTCCCCATCTCATTTCCATTATTTCCCCCTTCCTTCCTGCCAGTGAACAAGTGATTTAATCATATTGGAATGAATCTTATTCCTTTATTGTACTGGTAAGTGAGTACTGCTGCAGTTTATTGGTTTTTTTTTTTTTTTTTTTTCCTTTAACTGGTTCCTTTCTTGTATGTCTGGATATGTAAATAGAAACATATTTTATGTAGGCTTTATATGTGAATACAGGTTAAGATTCCTAGTGTTTCATGTTTCTTGCCTTTTTATTCATTACTGTAGTGAGATTCACACTTATTTTTCAATATTTGAAAATAATTATTAACAATTTTATTGATAACTCAGAACTCTTCATGTTCTTAATCTCTTTATTCATTCTTCCCTCTCTCCCTCATTTTTTAATGACCTTTGAGAAGATATTTAGAATTTCCATGTTTCAATTTTGGGAATTATCTGTGTTCTACTTTTTTTGAACCACAATTTTTCCAGGCCATATTTGAAGTTGGCTGGTAAGCAAAATAGTAATTTTTATCCCATGAAATTATAGTGGTAAATAATAAGTAACAATACCATTGGTTATATTTTTTAAGAGAGGGAATTGAATAATCATTTGTGAAAGTTTATGTGCCTAATAGCCCAATAAATCATTAAACAAAATGGTAAGACAGTGACATAGTCATTGTTCTCTACTAGGATTAAACTCAGAAGATAATAATAAATGATAAACAATTACAATGTTGTTTTTCTAAAGTGAAAGTAATCTCCTTGGATTACTCTTATGTTTTGTCAGAAAATAAAGGAACAATGCTTATCTCTTTATGTAATTTAATTAATTGATTTCAAAAGTGGTTTTTATAAGAATGGACTATGTTTTCATGCTATTGAAAAAAAATCACCCAGTCTAAGGGCTAATTATATATTTTATAGTAAAGAATAAAGCAAGACCACTGATTTTAAATTCATTTTAAAATTTCTATTTGATTTTAGTTATTAAAATGTTTGTGTTTTTTGGTCATTGCAATATCAAATCATTCAATTAATATGGTGAATCTCTAATTTAGAATTATGTATTATTACATAATTAAAATAATGTGCTCCCATGCCTAGATACTAGTTATTCATTATTGAGAATCACAGTTTTAAAAATGCACTTCATAAAAATTTTAATATTTTTATTATCTGTAGAAACTTTAAAATAAAGTCTTTATAAATTCTGAAATAACCAGACAAGTTAACTGTGAAATAGCTTTATGCAGCTAGAAGAAGCAAACCAAAGCTGATGTTCTTCATTTCCTTAGACAGACCTCGATTTTGCCAGGTAGAGCTTTGTTCGTCCCTCCATCGGGCCACTGGTTTTTCTCTCCATACACCGTACACCACAATGCTACCCATCTTAGTGCTTCAATGTGACTTTTTATGAAACAGTTTTGTTATAATCTCTTGTCTCTAGGCCCACAGATACTTGAGATATGCTTCTCATTTACCTTACCATTTATATTTTACCTTAGGTAAAATGGGCTGATCCAATGCCCCTCCTCTAACGGATTCTTGGCATATTACTTCATTATCTATCTTACTGATTTCGCTCACTTCTCCTGCTTTTTTACCTTCTAATAGATTTGAATTGAATGGCTACATTGTAGATTAGCAACATCTTTGTACATTTGTAACATCCTAAATGATGTTTGTGCATTTTGTATGTAAATACGTATTTTAGCAGATTTAAAACATTAATAGGAATTCTATAAATTTTGAGGGGTAGGCACTAAATTTTAATGTTTCTTGGAATTGCTTTTAAATGTGCATCATTTTGAAATAATTGACAATAAAATTTTACATAATTATGTGGTACCATGTGATGTTTCAATGCACATATACATTGTACGATGTTCAAATTAGGGTAAATGTTCAATTTTAGTTTTATTTGTAATCCACAGGAGTACTGATTTACAAATCAAACATTATCTTTTCAAAGCTAATTTAATAATAAACTTATAGAATTTTTTTCACTCCTCTCTACTTTTAAGAATTTATTATAGAATCGGGCTTGAAGTAGAAGACATAAAAAATAACTTTGAAATATTCTAAAATATCTATTTTCTTTT